TGGAGAGGAGACAACAAGGACAAGGACCAGGAGTCAGGGACCAGCCTGGCATGCCCGAGGGACCATGGGAGGCTCTCAGGAGCTCAGAGCAGTGAGAGCGAGCCTGARGGTATCAGGCAAGAGCTGGCCGCAAAGGCCATCTCAGATGGGGGTCATGGGCCCTGGTGTGGAGTCTATCTAAGTTCACTGAGCAGGGACCAGATGGCTTTAAACCAGGGATGGAMGTCAGCACATGCTTTGAAAGGATCACTGGGCTGCTCTGTGGACAGTGAATGACAGCAGGGCAGGAGTGGAAGCAGAGCCATGTGGGGCCACTGCAGTGGTCTGCAGTGACATGGCCCCCACCCTGCCACAATGTGGGACTGGAAATGAGAGGGGTGGTTTGATTTGGGACGTGATTTGGAGGCAGTGATGGATTGGTTGTGGGCAGTGAAGGAAACAGCAAGTGTGAGTCCGCTTGTTGGCTTACATCATGGGGAAGATGGGCTGAGTTACTCAGACGGGGTGGACGGTGGAGAGGGGCAGTGCGTGGGGTCAGGGTCCTTGGTAGTGAGAGCAGAGAGCTGGGTTTTTGATGGTCAGTGTGAGATGCCACGAGGCATCCCAGAGGACAGATCTAGAAACTGTTAAATATGCAAGTGTGAAGTGAGAGATGAGTCCAGGCCAGAGAGTTGGGATTGTCATCCATTAAGATGACATTCCATATGAGACTGGGTGGCACCTTCTAGGGAGGGAGTGCAAAGGAGAGAGATGAACTGGAGCTTGGGGACACTCCATGGTCAAGGGGCAGGAGATGAGTGGGAACCAGCCCAGGAGAAGGGAGAAAGCAGGGGAGGGGACCCAGGCGTCTGGAGAAGACCATGTTTCCACCAAGAGGGGCCATCCAGCCTGGCAATGCAGCCAGAGGCCGTGAGCGGAAGACAAAGTCAGAGATGGGCTCTGTCAGAGCAGATGTTGCCGATGGCGCCACAGGAATGGCATCTCTGGGTGGGGGTAGGGACGAGCTGATCCAGGAGCAGCCTGGAAAGAGCAGCAGGAAGCTCACAATTGATAGCAAGTCTCCCTCTAAAATGGAGCAGAGGGTCAGGCAGGGATGAGGACAGAGAGGCAACGCGGAGGTGTGTGTGTAGGGCGACTGAGCAGAGGTGGGGTGAGTCTAGTGGGGCAAAGCAGGGAGACCCCACCCCAAGGACACCCACACGACTTCTGCCAGAGCTCATTGCTGGCAGGCGGGCTGCTGAATTTGAGGCTGTCATCTGATAATGGCCTTTGCTTCCTCTTCTGTGAAGACATCCTTAGCACAGAAAGCTGCAGGTGGTAGGTTAAGTGAGATAATCTGTGCCRACACCAGGACTTTTCTGGTATCATAGAGGCCTTGCGCAAGTCTGTACCAAGGAGTGAGATTCTCCCAGAATCTGCTTACAGTCACATGTCACACGATGATGTCTCAGTCAGGATTCTCGTGAAGTAACATGGTGGTCACTTAGGTACGTTAAGCACGCTGCACGCTGTCCACACATGGATGAARTTGCCTAACAACGCGTTTCTAAGATGTATCGCTGTCACTGAATAATGTGACTATACATCAAGTGCCTTTGGAGAATCTGATGAGCATCCAGGCTRCAGCCACTGGGAGGCTAATGGTGTGTTCAGGGTCATGTTCATGTCATCCAGAGCCAGGTGTCGTTGGCTGCAGAGGACCATGCAGAAGGTGTCTGGGAGCAGGAGCTGGGTGTGGTTTCTAACGAAGCCTTTTCTTCCTCGCCGTCTGTAGAGCAGGGAGCAACTGTGCCACCCGAGAGCCTGGCAGAGCATCTCACAGACTCATTTGATCTAGACCCTGCACAGCAGGGATGTGTCCTGTGAGGCCTTGTGTGGGGTGGAGCGGACCCTAGGTGGGAGCTGCAGGAAGAATCGGTTGGCTCTKTGTCTTTGATGTTTTACAGTCAAGCTCCTTCCACCCCTGGGATGGAGTCAAAATGGACAGGCAGCATTTATTGGGGTTCAAAGGCCAGAGCCACCCTGTGGAGGGCCTAGGCGGCTGGGACCACAGGGAGAGGGCTGGTGCCCAGAGGAGTGAGGCCTGCTGCTGTGGGCAGAGAGGGACGGAGACCCTGCTCCTCCCCTCCCAGCCCTGACAGGAGGCTCTCACTGGCCAATCCTGCCTGGAGCTGGGAGGTCACAGAGTTCCAGAGGAAGGGAAAGGGAGGGAGGGCAGATGGCAGCTGTGAGCAGTGGTCTCCCTTGTGTGGTTTCTCCTCCCACAGCTTCAGCTACCTGCAGTCACCTGTGTTCTGAAAATATTAAATGGAAAATTCCAGAAATGAACAGCTCCTAGGTTTTTAATTGCATGTCATTCTGAACAGCATGAGGACATCTCACTGTTAAAATGTTTGGCTCCACTTTGGAAAAGACCCAATGGATGTAAAGTTAAGGGTCCCTTTCCACTCTGCCCTCCGGTCACTCCATTCCCCACCCAGAAGGCACCCAGCATTTCCAGTTTGTGTGTGTCTTTTCCAGCTTTTTGTACCTAGTCTACAGACAGACAGACAGACACACAGACAGAGACGTGCACACACACACAGCTTTTCCACACACATTGTTGCATATTTACACAATTTTCTTCCCTTCTGAGCTTGTACCTTGGGGTCTTTCCACATCACAACATGCAAAGGTCCCTCTCTGAACGCCCCACTAGGGGGAGGTGTTGCAATTTATTTAAACAGTCCCCTAACAGGACACTTAGGTTGTTTATGTCACTGCTACTACAGAGGATGTTGTCATGAGCAATCTTGGTACATAATCATGGAGCCACAAAAGTCAGTGACTAGGGGATTCTTTAGGAAGATGTAAAAGGGGGAGAAAATTTAATGGAAAGTTTGAGACAGATAAGTGGGATAAGTCAGGTAAGCCGGGCAGGCTCTGGTGTGCAATCAAGGGACCTAACTCCTAAAAGTAATAACGAGTCTCCTTCCAAGCCCCTGGCTTCTCACAACTCACCAGACAAGCCTCATGGAGTCCAGCGGTTTCTTTGTTTTACTCTTTCAGTACTGGCGACCGAGCCCAGACCCTGTGCATGCTAGGCCAGTGCTCTACCACAAGCTACAGCACTAGCCTTTAATTTTTTTTTTTTTTAATTTTGAGACAGGTTCTTACAAAGTTGTTGAAGCTGGCCTTGAACTTGGGATCCCCCAGCCTCAGCCTCCCTACTCTCTGGGATTATAAGCAAGTGCCACCACACCTGGCTCACTGAGTCTTTAGAGAGAGAAATAAGCTGTGAGAGCTGAGTCGTTTCTCCAACTCCTTGACCTGTTAATGGCATGACTAAAACTAAAACTAGGCCAGTGCCCTAGTTAACATGTCCACAAAATGGGGATAACAAGAATAACTACCTCAGCCAGGTGCTGTGGAGCACGCCTGTAATCCCAGCAGCTCAGGAGGCTGAGACAGGAGGATCGTGAGTTCAAAGCCAGCCCCAGCAAAAGCGAGGTGCTAAGCAACTCAGTGAGACCCTGTCTCTAAATAAAATACAAAATGGGGCCGGGGATGTGGCTCAGTGGTCGAGTGCCCCTGAGTTCAATCCCCAGTGACCCGCCCCCACCAAAAAAACAGTAACTGTCACTGGGACATTTTGAGGATTAGATGAAGCTCGTGGAAAGTGCTTAGAACAGGGTCTGTCATATAGCCAGAGTTCCATAAATGTGAACAGTTATGATCTTTTTGCAAGTGAGGAGAAAAAACTGAGCAAAGATTCCCACATCCTGAAAGGTAGAACTGGTGCAGGAATCCAGGTCTCGAGGTCTTAGGATACGCTAGTAAAACAGCCATCACAGTCCCCATACATGGCAGTTAATATTGATTATTGCCATGGGAATTCACCTGGCCTTGTTCTAGGGGACACCTTGTTCTGCAGTTCATCAAGTCCAAGATGCATGGGGTAAGAAGTAGTGTTATGTATGCACCATGGAGGGGTGGAGGTGGGGAGGAAGGAAGGTAGGGAAAGAGAGGGAGGAAGGAAAGGCAGAGATGGGATGGCAGGTGGGAGAGGGAGGCAGAAGAGGAAGGAGCCCAGCAGAGTGGCAGACACTATGTTCCTTATGGATCTGCTGTCCACTCCACATACCCTGCTCTGCTCGGCTCTGGGGCTGGGGCTGGGACCTGCACCCCCACCTCCATTTGTCCTTTGTGGGTAGGAGCCCTGGAGGAGGAGAGAGGACTTGCTCAGCTTTGTTTGCCTGAATTTTCCACCATTCCCAATAATGCCCRTGGCGGTTGTTACAGCTTCCAGCTTTTGTTCACACCTCGGAACTGTGCTCAGGAAGCAGTACCAGCGGGCAGTACCCATGCCCAAGCTCTGACTAGCCCTCCAGGGCCTCTCTTCCAAAACCTCAAGTTATCAGTAGGACGTGGGCAGCATCCGTCCTCAGAGGTCCCCCTTTTGACATCTCACCCCCCATATTTGCTTAATCAATTCCCTGTGTTAAATTCTCTCCATTAAAATAACTAGAGCATGGGGCTGGGGTTGTAGCTCAGCGGTAGAGCGCTCGCCTAGCATGTGCGAGGCCCTGGGTTCGATCCTCAGCCTCACATAAACATAAACATAAATAAAATAAAGGCATTGYGTCCAACTACACCTAAAAAAWTTTTAAAAATAAAAATAAATAAAATAACTAGAGCGGGTTTGGCACCCCTGCCTAGGACTCTGACTTATGGATCGTTTCCTGAAATTTTATACGAAAGGCTTCGAATTGATGAAATAAAATCCCACAACAGGGGATTCCCAGGGGCCAGGGCTGTCGGAGCTTTGGAAATGACCTAGTTGAGCCCGCGGTGAACCCAGAGGGAAGGGAGGCCTCACAGCTCAAGTGGTGGGGCGGGATGGGGCCCAGGCTCCTGATTTTCAGGCTGACGCTCCTCGCACGGTGCCTGTCCTACTCTGCCCATCTTTCTGCTTTGACATGCCTCATAGTGGGTCCTCATCAAACCCCTTTTCCTTCCAGGAAGAACACCTTGCTGGTTAACAACGGGTTTGCCATCTCTGCTGCCCTGCTGATGGCCTTTGCCCTCCAGGCCGAAGCCTTTGAAATGCTCATAGTGGGACGCTTCATCATGGGCGTGGATGGAGGTGAGACCCCCGTGAGGTGGATGGGGGCAGTGACACGTTCCTAGGAGGTGTCTGGAACTGCCGGCAGTGTTTGGGGCTGTCACAGACTGGGGCTCCTGATAGGTATTGACTTGGCAGGACCAAGGATGCTGGAACTCTGCACAGGGAGAAAGTCCAGTGACATGAAACACTATTCGCAATGCCCTGGCACCTGAGAACCTCCAGCTGGCAGACCCCATCAGCCYGCCCAGATGGAGGTCTTCAGCACTTTATGTCCTCCTCCATCACCTCCCTCATGAGATCCATGTTCCAAGGAAATCTGGGTTTCCAGGGAGCTTCCGCGAGGCCCGTGCTTCCCGTCTGCCTGACTCACTCGTCACCCAGCACTTCTAGGGCTCCTGCTCTGCCTCGTGTCCTCGGGCCGAGACACAGCCATCCAGAAGACTCTTGCCCTGCAACTCACATCACAAGGGGTGGACAGAAAAGAAGCAGATGCACACGTCCTAGGAAGAAAGCAAGGGGGCAGGGGTGGCATGGGCTACTCTATAAGGGCCAGTCRGGGAGGAAGCACAGCAGAGACCAGAATGAACCCAGGTGAGGCCAATACCCAGGGCAGAGTGATGCAGAGTGTGAGTGAAGCCCTGCACCAGGGAACCTGGGGGGAAGGCAGCCAGGGATGGGGTCAGACGCCAGGAGAGGCTATTCAGGTGTGGGGATGCTTGGTTCAGCACCCAGGATCCAGAATGACTAGCCATCCTGGAGTGTCCAGGACTGAAGTTTCCTGGGATGGATGGTACTGGGCAAACTGGGATGAGCTTCTCATACAGCCCACCTCCTCCACCACTGCCTAGCCTCGGCTCTCTCCCGTCCCCGTGAYATTTCACAATTGACAAGCAAGAACAGTCACCATGTATTGACAGCTTGATGTATGTCAGCGCTCTGCCAAGMATCTCACGCTTATCCAGAGTGTGCACAGCCCCCGTACAAGGCAATGACATCACTGTCCCAGCTTCACGGAGGAGCTAGGAAGTCAGCCCACGCCCTCCGCCATGACCCTCGCTGCCTCTTCCATTCGGACTCTCTCACTCCCTCCCTGCTTTGGGGAGTTGATGAGCATTTTGCCCAGTGAGCAGGAGGAGCACCAGGGTAAGGAAGGTAACAAGATACTCAGGTGCTCATCAAGTGGCCCACATGAGCCGGGAGCCTCATGGGCTGTCATTTCCTTCCCACCACAGCAGGAGGAAGTGAGGGTCCTCACCCCATCTTGCAGATGAGTAAGCTGAGCCTGAGAAAGGGGTTCAGTCCACCCAATGAGGAAACCRCAACGCTGGGATCCAAACCCCATCACAGCACGTTTTCCCCTATTGCCCCGCCCACTGAGCACCAGGTGCTAAGTGCATCGGGAGCCAGCTTTTTACTAGGAGGCCAGTTGCTCCTAACATACATGTTTTGGATAAAAGTTCAAATTTCATCTGGCCGATTTTGTGACTTTCCAAATAATTTCTGTCTCTTGGCTTTTCAAGCTGTTTTAAGTGGTGTGTCCTGGACTAAGACGCAGTGGAGGAGATTCTGAATTTATAATTGATATCCAGGTCATGCATTCACTTTCCTGGTCCCCCCGCCTCTTAGGAAGGGCTTCCTTGGATACCAGCAAAGGGGGTGAACCCAGCTCCTCTTGGAGCACACTTACTGGTCAGGAGCTATGCTAGAGGCAATGGGAAGCCAAAGCTGGAAAGAAACTTTTGATATTCTCTCAAACTGGTAAAAAATTAGACAATAGTAGCAAGTGCTGACAGTCTTAATTCGCATAGCATTTTGGAAAGAGGAGGTGCAGAGCATATCTGAACTCTCACAGAAATCCCGCAAAACTTAAACTCAAATCTTATCCCCTTCCACCTTGGGGACGGGAAACTGAGGCTAAGAGAAGCTCACAGCCCCTTGCCCCAGGGTCCTGCTGCTTCCAACCAGGACCTCCAGAACATGCCATGGCTCCAGAACATGCACCCCGTGGGCTAAAGTCAGGAGTGCGCCTGTGGGAGCACTGCTACCAGTTTAGGCCCACACGGGGCCTTCAGAACAGCCCTGCCGAGCATAGGGACACAAGGCCTTGAAACCAGCAAGGCCTCATTTTTATTAACAGGTGTGTGCAGTATTTTTGTAAATCATTTTTATAACTATGACTTTTTACCTGACACCTACCTGATAGGCCTCTGACATATAAATTTATTTCACAGGCACTGAGGTCATATGTGGGTGACCTATTCTGTAAAATAGGTCTACCCATATCCGCTGTAACCAAGACCCATAACTTAAATAAAGAGGCAATTCAAGCTGGTGGGAAAAGCTTAGGCTCCAGAGCCAGGGAGCTATTGGGACTCTTTGGACAAGACAACATCTTTRGTCATCTCTAGATGCCACTTGGTGATTAGGAAAGTTACTCAATATCTATGCCTCAGTTTCCTCAGCTTTACAATAGAGATCATAGGATATTTACTTCAGAAGGTTGTAGGAAAAGCAAATAAGTTAATAGATGCAGAGAGATGGGTAGGACCTCAACTAATGGTAAGCACTATATGTGTTGATTATTATCATCATTGTTACCACCATCATCATCACCATCACCATCATCACTACCACCATCATCCCCACCACTATCATCACCTCCACCACCACCACTACCACCACCAACATCATAATCACCTCTACTACCACCATCACCACCACCATCACCTCCACCGATACCAACACCATCATCATCATCTCCACCATTATCATTAGCACCACCACCATCATTACTTCCATCACCAACACTACCACCGCCAACATCATCACCACCTCCACCAACACTACCACCATTAACATCCCCACCATTATCATTAGCAACACTACCACCTCCACCAACACCACCACTATCAGCTGTATCCTCTCCCATGAAATGCACCTACAGCCATACCCTACTGGGGAAAGGATGGAGTGCCCAAGGAAGCCTTACAATTTGTACAGCAGGCTAGGAATGATGCTTTGGCTCCAAGGTTGTCTATCATCATGAGCAGAGCAGAGGCTAGCGAGGGGCTGGGACCAGAGCGCCCCCCCAGGGAACCCCGCTTTCTGACAGCTGTGTGCCTCCTCCTCAGGCATCTCCCTCAGTGTGCTCCCCATGTACCTCAACGAGATCTCACCCAAAGAGATCCGCGGCTCTCTGGGGCAGGTGACCGCCATCTTCATCTGCATTGGGGTGTTCGCTGGGCAGCTGCTGGGCCTGCCTGAGCTGCTGGGAAAGGTGAGTGTGGCTTCTGGCCAACCCTGCCACTTCCTTTCACTGTGAGTCCTTGCTCCAGGAGCTCATCCCCACGAGCCCCATCCTGAGTGGTCAAGCCTTTTACTTGTTATTGGAGAGAAGTTGTTGTGTGTCCCTTCGTATTTTTAAGACATAAAGAACACAAATTCAACAAATTCAAACCGTACAGGATGTTCAGATCCACCTACCCAGTGACTGTTGCCAGCAGCTCAATTTGCCTTTCATGGGCGTCTTCTGTGCTTTGAAAACCTACATAAACATCCACGGTTTGTTGTGGCTTATTCCATAGAGTCATGCCATACACATTGCTTTGCAACTTGCTGTTTTCATTTAATATAATTTGGGCACCTTCCAAGATGTTAGTTAACTGTATTTCACTCTTGCGTTTTTTTTTTCTTTTTCCTAAATAAGTAATCTTGCAATCTTCTGGTTTGGCTTGCTGTTTGGTGAACAGGAGACTGGATTCGAATTCCAGCTCAACAGTGTTCTTGCAGTGTGGTCTCAGCAAAAGAGAAGGGCTCATCCAGGTCGGGGAGGGGTGGGGTGAACTTCCGCTTCCCAGAGGCAGTCCTCAAAAGTGGGCCCCCCAGGGTGAGCAGGAGCTAGGCCAGCGGTGGGGGAGGGGTGGGAGAAGACCCTCTGGAGAAAGGGAACCACAGAGAAGGCCCCAAGATGGGACAGAGCCCTCAGGAAACAACTGGGAGGGCTTGGGGGCTGAGGAGGGAGGAGGGACCTGCTCACTGGGCCCAGCCAACTTCAATAGGGCAACAGGGAGCACAGGTGGCCCTAGAGCAGGGGATGACATGGCCAGAGTCACACTGGAAGGGGCTCTGGGTGGTGATGGGGAAGCACAGGCCACAGTGGGGAGGGGGAGCAGGGATGCCGGAGGCTTGCCTGAGGTCCCTGCTGCTGCTCTGGGCGATGAAGGTGGGCTGGGGCCCCGGGGACAGGGGGGAACCAGTGGTAACCAGGGAGGAAGCAGGGCTTGATGCCCGGTATTGGATGAAGGTGAGGGAAGGAGTGAGGGGTCAGGATGCGTCTGGGGGAAGAGCTCATGATGGTGGAGCCCAGCATGTGTCYAGCACGTGTTGCAGGTGCTTGAAGACCTCGGCTCCTGTGCTGCTGAATTCTAGCGGGAGGAGGCAAGCAGTGGAGACAGTCTTAGTCAGCATGGAGTGCACTGTTGCCTGGCTCTTTGATTCTGTGTCCTCCTCAATAGCAGGCATGATGGCATGTCCCAAGTCCCTGAGCTCTGCTCAAGAATTACTTCTTCTGGGAAAGTATTGCTGGCAGATAGTGACCGTTCAGTGTGTCCTCAGAACACCTGGTGCACGGGCCTCTCCTGCGCCGTGATTTCTGTTTGCTTCTGCAAGCTGCCCCTGTAGTGGAGCAGCCACGCTGACATGTGTGCAGGAGCCCACTCACAGGTACTTACAATATGCACCAGGCGTTGGGCTGCAGCTGCTGGAGTGGTGGGCAGAGCCACCCTGCCCTGGGCAGCTCACAGGAAGGCAGTGGCCAGTGGGCACCAGGTGATGGGAGGCAGAGGTGCCTCCGCGCGGGGTCAGGGATGGTTTTCCTGCCGAGTGATGACTAGGACTTGTCTGGGCCAGAGCTGGTGGGGAGAGGGACAGAAGCGGGTGCTGAGCCAAGGGAACAGTTTGGGGAGTCCCCAGACCCTAATTAAGAGGCAGAAAAACCAGAGGACCAGGGCATAGTGGTGAAGGAAGGGAAAGGAGGAGAGGAGGAGAGGGAGAGGAGAGAGGGAGAGGATGCAGGAGAGAAGAGGGAGAGGGAGGTGCCTTGGAGAGTGGGTGGGTCAGATCCCTGGGACAGGAGGGCCACACCTTTCTGGTAAAAAGCACAGAAGAAGGCTTCAGAGGCCTGAGTGCTTGGGGAAATGCTCCCAGTCCCACAGTGTCTCTGATGCCCCTCCTGGTAACCACTATTTTATTTTCTATGGATGAGTATTTGATTTAAAGATAAAATTTTTTTGGTCCTCATGTAAGATCAGGCAGGGTTTTTCTTTCTGATCCTGGCTTAGTTCTAGTATAACGTCCTCAGGTTCATGCGTGTTGTGGCCGATGGCAAGATCTACTTCTTTCCCAAGGCTGCACAGTAGTCATACACATTCTTTGTTCAGTCTTCCACCCAGAGGCACTTCTGCCGTCCCACATCCTGGCTGTGTGAGCACGGCAGTGACCCTGAGTGCAGGCATCCATATGGTGTGGTGATTCTGTCTCCTTGGGTGTTCCCAGAAGAGTGACTGCACGGTCACAGGATAGTTCTATTTTTAACATCTGGAGGCGCCTCCATGCCATTTTCCACAAGGGCTGCATCACTCTCCCTTCCCACCAAGGGCTGGCCCACCCCTACCTCTGTCTTGATGAGAGCCGTCCCCGTAGCTGTGAGGTACCAGCTCATTGTGGTTTTGATTGGCATTTCCCTGACCGCGAGTGCTGCTGGGCATCTTTCCATATACCCATTGGCCAGTGTTGTGTCTTCATTGAACAAACATCTATCCAGGTTCTTTTCCATTTTTGAAACTGGTTATTTGTTTTTCTGCTGTTGAGTTGTGTGGAATTTTTAATATATCCTGATACTAACGCACAGTCTGCCATTTCATTTTACTAGTTGCTTCCTTTGCTGGGTAGTTTGATGTAGCCCCATTATTTACATTGCGCTTTTGTAGCCTGAGCTTTTGGGGCAGTATCCAAAAAAATATTGGCAAGGTCAATGTCAAGTGGCTTTTTCTCTATGTTCTCTTTTAGGAGTTTTATGATGTCAAGTCTTATGTTTAGGTATTTTATCCATTTTGAGTTGATGTTTGTACATAATAAAAGGGTCCAATTTCTTTCTTTCTTTTTTCTTTTTTTTTTGCATATGGATATTCAATTTTCCCAGCGCCATTTATTGAAGAGACTGTTCTTTTCTGTTTTGTCTTTTCAGCAAGCTTCTCAAAATTTAATTTTCTATATGTTTGTTGAAGTTTATTTCTGGAGTCTCTTAGGTGCTCCATTGACTGGTGTGTCTGTTTTTATGCTCCTTTGATTACTAACACTGTGTAATATAATTTTAAATCAGGGAATGTGATGCCTCCAACTTTTTTTCCTCCTCAGAATTGCTTTGGCTGTTCAGGGTCTTTTGTGGTTCTGTGTGAATTTTAGATTTGTTTAAAACATACATACATAGGAAGGTCACTCGCAATCATGGATTGGAAGAATTAAAACTGTTAACCTATTCATGCTATCCAAAGCAATATACAGATTCAACACAACCCCTACCCAACTTTCAGTGGCCTTCTTCACAGAAATAAGAAGATAAACATGCTTAGAAATGCTCTTGGGCTGCAGCAAGGAGAAGATTGGCTCTCACCCAAGACCCGAGGGCTTCTGCTGGTCAGCCATGAGCTGCCAGGAGCCAGGATTAGAGCAGGTGGACAGGTTGAGTGAGGTTGGTGGGTGACGGGCTGTTGTGTCCTGGGGAGGAGAAGTCAAGGGCACTGTCCCTGCATCTGACCCCTCTTCAGGTAGAACAGAGGGGCCAGACACAAGACAGGGGCCGGGGAAGAACAGGAGCAGCTTTGCAGGGATCAAGAGGACAAGTTCACTACCATGAGCAGCCTGAGAGGCAGAGCTGGACCAGGAACCTAGATTCCCAGGCGGGGGACTCTCCCTGGAACCCCAGGGCTCATTGGCAGGCTGCTGGTCAGGGCACAGCTGCCCATGCCTGCCCTCTGACCTCCACCAGCAGAGAAGCCTTACACTGAAAGGTCCCTGGTCCCTGCAGGCTGTCTCTTCCCCATCAGATTGGAATTTCCAGACGGTCTTGACTCTGGGAGGAGGGTGTGTGAACAACCCATTAGAAGCCTTTTTTGTTTGTTTATTTCATGCTCTTGGGAGGTGGCTATTGGGCTTCTGGTCCAGGCAGGAACATCAGGTGGAAATTTTTCATTTATCTCTGGGGATTTACAAGTGAGAGCCACAGTTATTCAGCTGAGTGTCAGAATTTCACCTTCTGTATTTCAATCATGTTTGTCATTTACCTTCAAAAACTGAGACAGCTAAGCTTTGAAAAAAAATTAAAAAATAGAAAAGCTGTGCTTCCGCGCAGGCAGCTGCTTTGAACCATGAAGGCTACAGGAAGTGGGGAGAAGGTGGTGCTCAAAAGAGGCCCCAGAAGGCAGGAGCTGGGAGCAGGGTGGACTCTGGCTGCAGTCAGAACGTGCTCAGAGGCACTGTGAGACAGGTGGTGGATGGACACCGATGTGACACTTCATGCTTCCAAAGGATATTTTTAAAAATGCATTAAATAGCTATTTATCTTGCAAAAATGAAAATAAAGGAATTTATGATAGTCATAGGCAGACCTATGAGAAGAGAGACGGGAACAATGTGGATCAGGAATGGTCACATATGCTAGGGACACCCATTCAGATGCAGTGCCGGGGGGAAGGCAAAGCGAAGCTCAGAGCCAATTGCTGCTGTGTGGACTTCACACCCAACTTGGTCCCTATTGTTCCTGTGTAGAAGAGTTTGTGCTCATTTCAGAACATTTAGAAATTATAAAARGGGCTGGGCATGGTGGCGCATGCCTGTAATCCCAGCAGGTCAGAGGCTGAGACAGGAGGATCACAAGTTCAAAGCCAACCTCAGCCATCTACTGAGGCCCAAGCAACTCAGGGAGACCCAGTCTCAAAATAAAATATGGAAACAGCAGAGCTGGGGATGTGGCTCAGTGGTTAAGTGTAACCAATCGACTGGTTCAATTCCCAGTACCAAAAGAAGCACTATAGCAAGGAAGCAAAGTCACTGAAATTCCATCGAGGGTTTGATTTTTATGACTAGGATGAATTCACACCTAATGTATGCAATATGGAAGAGTTTGGAAAGTGAAAAAATTAAAACTTCTAATTCTCACCATCTCTGGGTGATCATCTTAACAGTTCTTAGAATTTGTTTTCATTAATTTTTCTATGATCT